AAAACATATTTTTTAATCCAAAATGATCTGGATGAGTCTTGTTCATCCGCAGAGGTTTCCCACCTTTATCGGGATGTGTACAAAGGCCACAAGCCTCTCAGTCTGCAAACCATGGCCCTGGTCCCACCTCCTTCGGAGACCCGTATGGGAGGAAGGCTCCTGAAACATTCACGTCCACTGAACCTTGCCACATACCCATCATTCTTATCGGCCCAGAAGTCCTGCTAGACGAGATCCAATGAGGACATGAAAAATGGAATCCCAAATGCCCTTATTCTTGACTGAATGTACTTCAGGTGTGCGGTCCATCTCACTGAGAGACTAATGAGTGATTGTATTATTTTTCCCCCTGGCGGTTTCCAGAAACTGTTTAGAGAGAGCTATTTCAGAACCCAGCTCTACCCGTCTGAAAGTTTTCACACTTGGGATTTTATTGGAGACTTTTTGAAGCCCATCTTTCGCATAATGGTCAATGGCCTTTCATTTCTAACTGAAACAGTACTCTCTTTCCACTGTTAAAACTCTTAATTTATCCTATTACCAGCCACGCGATAAAACACATTTTCTCCAGCTAGTCAGGGAGCTGCCAAGACAGCTTAATATAAACCACTGAGAGAATTTTAGAGAATTTCGAAAATTTTAACTTGCCTCTTGCACATCCCTGGATCTGGAGGCTTTGAATGGTGGAAAGGGCATTTCTCCTGGGTAAATAAATGGCCTAGGACACTTCGGGGGGGAAAACAGAATTCACTGGAGAAGAACAGGATATACCAGCTACGGAGATTCTGTGAGGGGCGGGGATGGGCCCCAGGGAAGAAGCAGCCCCACTGATGTCTCAGACCCCCGGGGGAATCTCTGCCTATAGCAACAACAAAATACAGTTGAAGGAGTTTGTTTCTGTTTCAGAATGGTTGTCAGAAGGGAGAGGGGTGATGGGTTAAAAAGGGAAAGGGGAGTAAGAGGCACAGACTTCCAGTTATACAATAAACGAGCCATGGGGTGTAATGTACACCCCAGTGAACATAATCAATAATATCATAATAACTTTGTATGGTGACAGACGGTCACCAGACTTATCGGGGTGACCACATAGCAGGTGTACAAATGTCAAATCACTATATCGTACACCTGAAACCAATATAATATCGTATGTTAACTATACTTCGATTTTTTTTTTTTAATTGAAGGAATGATTCATGGAGATGTCAAGAGCTTATCTTTGGAGACTCTTAAAGGGGTTTTGTTTATTTGTGTGTGGTAACTATCTACTACATCTGTTCATAATGAAATAATTCATGGAACCCAAAAGGACTGACATTGAAAATACAGTGTGGCAAACACACAGTCTACTGGCCAGTCCCTTCCAGCTGTTGTTAGTAAAATGACATATAAAAATTATAAGCTGTTGTCAGTATTTGCCACAAAAACCAGTCAGTAATGGGAAACTCAAAAGTAACAGTCCTGGCAAGGGGTAAATACAAGTCCCACTAGTGTTGTAGGGAGACCTGTGGGAAGGGCCTGCTGTAGGTGAACCCTCTTGGGACAACTGAACGTCACAGAGGGTCACTTCCCTCCCTCATTCCCACCCCCATCTCCCCTACACCAACTACTGGCCAGTAGCCCAGACCAGGCCTCAAGGGAAGGAAAGTGCTCATTAGTATAAGACAATTTCACGCACAAACTGGAATTTAAACTGCCAAAATAACTACACACTGCATACAATTCACTTAAGCCTCAGACAATAAAACTGATATACTGGGCGGGGGGGAGGGGGGGTGAGTCCTGGGAGGACCTACAGGTTCTCAGTTAGGGTTCGCCGCCCTCGCCCTCCCAACTCCTTCTCACCTTTCCTATTCGTGTGTAATACAATGAGATGACAATGACCATGGGAAACCGAATTATCTGATTTAGAAAGGTACGCTGATGCTGTTTCAAACTAACATAATTCTGAAGAGCTCAGCAGTTCAGCTTGGGAAGGTCTCGCTCTCTAAAGTAAGAGTTAAAATCACACCAAAAAAATCTTTGATGATTTTAGCACAAGCGTATCTCACTTCAGATAAAGAACACACATGATAAGACCTGGACTGCAACACAAGAAGATGATTAGTCATATTTCAAAAGGGGCTGCCCTTGGAGTTTCTTTCAATGGGTACTTCCCCTATTTTGTTCACAATGTAGTTTTGAAAGTCACCTCAGCTTGTCGGAAGCACATGCACTGCATAAAACAAAGTCTGCTTGCATTTTTATTAATGGTGTCCCCAAAGCCTTTCAGACTTCACCCTATAAATCCTCACTGTTATCTTATTATAGCGAAAAAAAATAAAATAAAGAAACAAATTTTTAAAAATCCTTCTTCCATCAATATTGTTGACCATTCACTAGTAAATTCTTCCCAGCAAGATGTTTAAGTGCACCGGGCTCAGAGCCCCTGAAACACAATAACCTTCGCATTATTTTCCAAGACAGAGATTTCTAAAACAAAGGCAGAGTGCAGAAGTACAAAGCTGATTCAAACAGTAGGATCCGATACAAATCCAACCCCAAGATGCACAAGGTATGAAATGGAACCAAGAGACATTTCCTGGTACCAGGTGGGACACGGTAAGCATCTTCCAGTTCCCTAGAGTAAGAGTTGGCAAGCATCATTAACAAAGCCAGAGTCACGAAGTGGCCCTCACCTAAAAGCCTACGCTGTCGGTCAACAGGGAGAGCTACGTATCTTCTCTACCACGTGACAGTAAAAACAGATGAGACATCACAGTCACTGAGCACTTACACTAGGCGAAGCTGCTCTATACACTTTCGTTGCACGGACCCAAAGAACCTGTCTGTGACTCCTTCACACTCTGAAAAATAGACAGACCCAAGGACCTTTTGTTTATGTAGATTGTATCCATTGCTATTTACTGTGACATATTTAAATGGAGAGAAATTTTTAAAATTTATCAGTTCATTTTAAAAAGTAATAAAGCTCTTGTACACTGACAAATAATTTTGTTACAAACAATAACAGTATTTTCCAAAAAAAAAAAAAAAAAAAAAAGTGAGGAGAGTGGCACTGTTTTACATTTTGGCAAGTCTCCTTAATGTCTCTCAACAGGACAGCTGGACTCTCCTAGCTGCTTCTGCATTCAGTCGGTTCCACTTCCCCAAGGTCATATTAGCCTCAAGAAAACTCCATGTGTAAGTTGCCTGAGAATGAACATGAAAAGGGCAGATAACCTCATGTGCTATCGTGAAAACAGTCTGGCCTTGTGGACCTCTGAAAAGCTTCAGAGACTCCAAGTGTACCCAGAACACCCTTTGAGAACCCGTGCCTTATGAGTTTGGAATAATTATTATCTCCATTTTACAAACGAGCAGGCTGGCATAGAGAGGCCAAGGAACTGTCCAAGGGCACACCGCTAGAACAGGCCGGAGCAGGTAAAAAGCAAGGAGCATACTACTTATTCCATCTGGTTGTTGAAAGGATTGATCGAGATCATGAATGTAAAGCTTGAGCATCCCCACTTGGCCTATACCAAGTGCTCAACATTGTCAATACTCCCCATTGGGCGAGGCCTGGTGGAAAAGCTAGGAAAACGTCGTGCATTTTTGATCAACCGATCATGTGACACCAGCGAGAAAAAAATAAAACACAGCAGGTGCTATGTGGAGCAAGGACCCTGCCTCAGCCCTCGGGACGGAAGCAGTCTTTTGCAACTCAGAAACTCCAGGAGCTCATTCCACCCTCCATTAGGTACATGATGCTGGTGGGCTGCGGGCTCTGTCACCTTGTTCCTTGGGAACCCTGAGCAAGCCAAGGGAACTGCTCCATTATTTACAGCTTCCTTTTTGCCCCACGCTGTACTTACAAGGAACCCTCAACGAACAACAACTAACTGCACCTCTAGTCTGTGCAGCCAAACTTCTAGAAGCTGGCATCTGTGGTCTTCCTGACCAGGGGCCCAGCACTCCAAGGCTCTCCTTGCCCATTAACTTTCTTAATCCAGGTGGCCCTTCTGTGTCTGCCTGCAGTGGGTCACTTGAGCCACAGCATGCAAGTCACTTATATTCCTTCTCGGATTAGGGAAGTGAGCACACCTGGGGAAGTGGGCCTGGTGCAGTTCAGGCCACTACACTCTCAAAACACTACCTGGACAGAAGGCAAGCCTAAGAGGCACCTGAGCTGTTGTTTCTACCCAAGGGCAGTCACCAGGATGTGTCACCTGGAGCACTGCAACTGGTCTTCTGTTTCCACTTTGACACCCCTGCTCACTCACACACACACACACACACACACACGTCTACTTTCCACCAACGCCAAAAGGCTCTTCTAAATGCATAGAAGGGATGAGGTCAGTTCTCCCGCTAAAACCTCCCAAGGCTCCCTCTACTCAGAATAAAAACCAAACTCCTTAACTTGGCTCATAAGGCCCTGCCTCATCTGGCCCCTGTCCACCTTTCTTGCTACCAGCAAGGGTGTCTTCTCTCTGGCCTCTGCGCTCTCTGCTCCCACCCCCCGCAGTGGTCCTCCGCACCGCCGACAGCTCAGATGTCACCTCCGCCAAGAGACTTTCCCTGGGTGCCCACCCTGCGGAGTTGCCACCGCTCCATCCGGTTGTGTTTGAGACTCCAGGGCACTTTGTCTCGGAAGTTAACTTTACATCACTGGTCTATTACACGTCTCCCTCCCTCCACACCCTCCTCCTAGAACGTGAGTCCCGAGAGCTGAGGCTCCATCAAGTCCCCCGTGACATCCCAGCGCCCGGCACAGTGCCTTGCACAGGCTAAGCGCTCAGCAAACAGTGACCGAATGAATGAAGCAGCAGCGCCCGGGGTCCCCGAGGGTCCCGGGCTGGCGTCCCTGGTGCCCCGCTGCGTCCGGGCGGCTGGGCCACAGGCGCGCGCGGGCCGGGGGTACCCGGGGGGGACGGGGCCGCTCCCCCACGGGGCCGCAGGTGCCAATAGGGAGCGTGCACTCCAGGGTCAGCGCCACCGCTCCGATCACCCACACTCACCATAGTGACGGGGCCGCCACCGCTCCTGCCCGGCGAAAGGCGAGCGGCGAGTGCGGCGCACACGAGCCCGAGAGCCCAGCGCAGGAGCCGGCGCGGCCGACAGGTGAGGCGCGCGCCTCAGACCATGGCTGCCTCCCACAATGCCC